CTAAGACCCACAGGCTGCCCAGAAAATGATACAGGTCACTGGGAAGGCACCCGAAGGGGTACCATGAGTTTCCCATTCGCTGAGGACTTCAGCATGTCAGAAAAGGGTCAAACTGTGTGCCAGGTTCACCCAGTGGAACTCTGAAGGTCAGAGCAGAAGGTGAAAGGGAGAGGAATCCCAGGTACTGTAGGTAGGAAGCCACCGCAGGAGCTTAGAAGCTCTCTGAGATGAGGGAGGTGATTTCCCTGTCCAGCCCAGTTAAGGCCCTTTTGTCAGAGACCCTGCCTATCGCCCATCTCACGAGATTTAGTGATGGTTTCAGAGACACCAAGGATGCCTCTGAGACTGGTGGGCTGTTCCCACTCAGCCAAGCCCGGCTTCTCACCCTGTTCTTAGAAAATTTTAAATGGGAAGATTTGAAATTCCCAGGCAGGTTAATTAGAAGGGAACACAGTTCATTTTCCAGGCCCTAGAGAAGAATTTATCCTGGCACTGTTGTGAGTACCAAATGTATTTGAAATCCAACCTTGATGCTCAGCTTGTGCCCTCTGTAAGGTGCTCATGATGTGCCGGCAACTGTGGCAGAAGACGACCAGACACCACCTCTACTGATTCCACTGGGTTCCAGCAGGAAGAGATGAGGTCAGAGGTCACCCCGGCACCCCTCACCACAAGTGAAGATTCTCAGGATGAGGGATGGGAAGAGAGGACATTCCCTCCAGTGACCCCAGTGTCTCTCTGAGGACCACCTATAGTCACACTGTTCTCAGACACTGCTCAACCCCTTAAGAGTGGGTCACAGGGACTGAGACCCAAATTAGCCATTGGGAGGCATCAGGCCTCTGTCCCCCACCAAAGCCATGTTGCACAGCCTCTCTCAGACCACTTCTGGGCTGTCAAAGCCTGACAGCACTCCGACGCATGCTCTGAGGGGTAAGAATGATGGAGTCATGGATGTGACAGTCCTCAACAAAGGAACACATAAAGGGAGCACCCTCGTGCTCTCCTGGAGACCTGTGGCAGCTGTCAGCCCAGAGAGGCAGATCAGCCTGTGACTGTGGACAAAACCAGGCACATGCATTCGGCTGAGCAGATCTGGCTCCTCCCATCAGCCTGGAAGAAGAAGGGCTGACCCTTACCCTGGGTGCATCCCCCACCTCTCTGATCCTCATGGGCTCGCCAGCCCTGGCCAGAGACTGAGGAGCTCTTTGCTAAGAGGCCACTGATGTATCACATCCACTTTTTGTCCTTTTTCACAGTGCTGTAAAGACGGGGCAGCTGACACCAGACATGTAATTCTCGAGCATTCAGGGTGTAAACAAGGGCAACTGGCAGGGAGAGATACTTGGCAGAGGACCCACGGGCTGGCCCTTTAACCTTGTAAGTTCCTCAGCTCCTTGTCCAGAGCCAATAAGGTCCCTGGATCTGAACTTGCTGCCCTGTATCCATCAAGAAGAGAAAGAGGAGGCAAGGTCCTATTCCCTGGGAGTTCTGGGTCTAGGTCAGAGGAAGCTGGACCACCCTGGCTCTGAATGGTCTGTTTTGTGGAAACTAGGAGCAGAACGGCTGCGTGAAGGATGGGACACACTCACAGCCCTGGCGAGGCCCATTCACCTTCCTCCAGCATGCGATGGAATTTATCTCTGCTGAAACTCCTTCGCACTCTTGCGGGGAACTTGTTCTTTCTGATTTAAAGAGAGCCAGCTCTGGAGGGCAGCGCTGAGCCTGAACTGTACAGCTGGGGGTGAGATTTCAGCACTAGGAGAGGTCCTGGCGAAGAAACTGAGGGAACCATCTATTTCCCCCTCCTCACCTTTTCAGCACGTCACCCTCCTCCCAGGCTGCCTCTTCTGAGGAAGATGGACAGCTCCCACCACTAGGGGCCAGAGCCCTGCACTGAATTCCCCAGACCTCCTGCCCTACCTCCTCCACACCTCTCCTCCCCTGCAGCCAGACATTCTCCCTCTCACTGAGCCAAAAACAGAGTGGAGTTTAATAATCTCTGTTGCAGGCTGCCTGCAACAGAGGGAGAAGGGCACCCCCAGAGACAGCAACAGAGATCAGCCCATGGCTCCTTTCTCCCATTGGCTCCACTGCCCTGCTGAGTCCCAGGGGCCCCTCCTCAAGTGGCTCATGGTTGAGATAGGAACCAAGGCTTAGGCCGTGTTCTAGGGTGAGACAAAGGAATCCGCGGAAAGTGAGTCCACAGTGACCAAAGCAGAGGTCAGGGTTTCGCTGAGGAACTGGATCCAAGAGGTGGATCCTGAAGGAAGTGCAGACTTGGAGCAGACACCAGTGGAGAGGAAGAGCACAGAAGTGAAGAACCACTCTGTAGATACCTCTGCCCTGGAGGCAGGGTGCAGCCGTCTGCTTCAGAGGGTGCTGCCCTTGCACACCCAGACCAAAGGGGACAGAGAGTGGATGAGGGATGGGCGTGGCCTCAGAACACCAGGAGCCTTCTCTCTGGGAGAGCTGGCTGACCTGCTCCCCTTCTGTCCACCCCAGATGCTGCTTTTTCCTCTCTGCAGAGCATTGTATCTGTGTATTAAATCCTACAGGGGGTTCTCAGATGCAGCTTGGGGTGAAAACACTAAGGAACAATGCTCTGGGGTAGGTTTCAGATGCCACCAGCAGGTCAGTGAGTGGAGATTTGGGGCAGAGGGGCCTGGTTTCCTGGATCTCCTAAGAGATTTAAAGTACACATCCCGCTTTGAAGGAGACCCTCGGTAAACATGCTTGCAAGGCCAGGTGACCAATGTGCAATTAGCGCACCTCCTGCACCCCTAGGTCTGGCTGGTGACCTCTTGCTTCTACCTCCTCCCACCCCCACCCCCCCAGATTTCTCCCACTTCCTCCAGGCCAACCCATTCCAGGGCCTGAAAGATCTGATGTTTTATTAAAGTCCAGATCTTCCTATTCTAAGGCCACCTTCCTCTGGCTAATTCTGTAATTCAATTAGTAGGAAGTCAAGGCCAAGCTGGGGTGGGAGGAGGGAGCGCTTCGCATCGGGAGCCTTCCCTTCCAGGATGATTACACCCCAGGCTTCAGCCCTGTTCCGAGTTGGGCAGGAAATTGTACTTCCTTCACTTCACAATGACAAGGGCCTTTTATCCCCGCACACGGGGGCTTTGTAAATTACTGCCATCTCCGTACAATTAATTCTGCTGCGCTGTGCTTTCCCCCCACGTGGGAGAGGGCCCCGCCCACTGTCCCAGGCATCAGCAGTGCCCCTTGCACCATGGTCTACAGGCTGCTAGAGCAGTGTCTGCCACCTCTGCCTACTCCTTCAGCTGACAATGCCCTCTGCCACCCACTCCACCTGCCTCTCCCAGGCTGGATCGTCACCTGCCCTGGCCACATCTGCCCCCTCCTCCCTTCCCGACTCTGTCCCAAGGTTCTCAATCTCCCCTCAGTGCCCCAATTATGGGTCTCCTTCCCCTCCCTCATGGGTCCTCTTGGTCTCCCAGGCCACTGATGCCTGAGCTGGGAGCTTAGCCCTCCCCTTGGCCCTAGAGAGATGGAACATGCTAAATCCACCCTCACAGAGTTGACAGTCTACTCAGAGACACAAGCAATGCAACTGGCAAACAGAAGGGACAAGTAAATAAGAATGGGAAGCAGGAAAAGGTTAAGTGGCTATATAAGGAAATGTGAGTGCAGGCCTGTGTTCTGCACACACAGTAGAATTGTGTCAGGGGAGAGCCAGGTCCATGGGGAGTTGGGGGAGCCTGGGGGTCCACCTGGTATACAGGGAGGAGGAGGAGCACAGACAATCAGTGATGGTGGCAGCCCTATAATGTGACTTCTCTAATTTTGTCATCTCTCTGCCCCCACCCCAACCCCAAGTAATTGCCAAAGTCCGCTTCTGCTCAGACAGGCTGCAGTTCTATTCTGCTCTATCCCGTGATTTAGAAGAGGCTGAGATAGAGCGTGCTGACTTGTGAGGGGTAGGACACCCAGGTGATGAGGTGATGCTGGGAAGAACAATTGGAGACACTGGCACAGAGAAGCAGGAGCTCCCCCAAGTTTGGGGATGGTGTGGGGAAGGGTGTGCCTTCCATGATGGATTCCATCCCCAAACAGCAACTCCTGGAACTCATGGCCGTGGTCTGAAACAATTTACATTTATAGCTTGTTGGGTGGAAAGAATCTGCATCGAACCCCAGAGATCCTCACCCAGTTCAGCTCAGAGGAAGTTTGGGGGTAGAGCCCAGCAGACCACCAAGGACAGTTCCATTCCCCTCAGGAAGCATTTCCCAGGCACTCAATACCCAGTCTTTGTCTCCTCAAAACCAGCTGCGGGTCCCACATTCTGTCAGGTACCCCCACTTATACCACCTTCTTTTTAACCCATTCTCTTCTTTTAGCACAGTTCTCTTTTTCTTCAAAGTTAATTATGCAAGTGATATATGAATACATTCTGGGTCTAAATGTGTCAAACCAAATAAGAAAAGTGAAAGTCAGGCAAGACATCCCCTTTCCCCACCCCATGCTCCCTGCTTTCAACTCTGGGCGACTTCCACACTTTATCCATTGCGTGTAAATACAGACGCAGGTACATATGGAAGGAGCACAGCAGGCCTCCATGTGTATGTGGCATGGATTATTTTGCAGCTCGTTTTTCCCATCTGATGATGTAGCTTTCCATGTTCGAACATTCAGGGTCCTTTCATCTTTTTAACTGCTGTAGAGTATTCACGGTTTTAAAATAAAACATTCCTTCCCTGAAGGACTTTAGGTGGTTTTCAATTGTCTGCCATTCCAAACAGCCATGTTTTTTTCTCTCCTCTGTGAGGACAAGGACTGTAGACTTTAGGATCAAGCTGGGGAGGGACTGACAGGGCTGTAAGATAGGGAGATGCTTCTGTGCCATGAGCCTCTTCTAAGGAAGGATGCTCCCTTCTCCAGTCTCCAAGTTTAAGCCCTGTGGGAAGCCCCTCTCACACTGTCTTTTGCCACCACCCAGCAACTCCCTGAGAGCATTCTATAATGTCTCTTACCTCCACTATGAGGTCCAAAAGGGCTGCAACAAGGCTGTCTCTGGGGACACCTCAGTGCATCCTACGACAGTGACTTTGGTGAATTCCATGGCTTCCAGGCTGAGAGTGACTGAACCTTCTTCCCATCTTCACACCTTCTAGCTGCACCAGCCCCACAACTCAGAGACCCCTCCTCAACCCTAAGGAAGAATAGAGAGTCACAGGAGACCAAATCTAGTTGCTCTGGGGGCCTCGGCCCCCATTCCCTCTATGCCTGAGAGGCCAGGGATGTCCAGTGGTTGAGGCCTGGGTACCTCTTCTACCATCGCCACATTGAGCCCCACCTCAGTCTCTGCCCCAGGCTCACCATTATCTAGGGCACTCTGTGATGTCATGCTCCCCTCATACAGCCCCCTCCCCACCAAAGCGGCCACTCCCCCAGAGCTCTGCTCTCAACCAGGGAGCAGACTGGCCTCTTCCTTCACACACTGGAGTTGGCATTAATAACTGCTTATCCGTATTTGTCTTTCTAAAAGAGCCTTAAGTGAGACAACTAATCTCCCCTGGTGGAATGTCAGACTCACATCGTACTGCTGAAGAGAGGGCTAGAGAAAGACCTGGGGTTTGGGGTTTGCCCAATCTGCCTCTGTGTAAGACTCACAGAGGGACACAAGGGAAGAAGGAAGGAGCTTGGCACCCGTCAGTCTGCTTCACAAAGAGGAACTGGGATTTACAGCATGTTCTGCAGAGGTGGTTAATACTCACTGGCTAGTAGGTCTCCCCATGAATTGCTACCTCCATTTTATAGATGAAGAACCAACCTGGGGTTCAGAGAGAGAAATCAGCAAATGGCACATGGCTGTATAGGGCTACCCTGGACAGAGTCATGCATCAGCCTATTCATGGGCAACTGAGGATTCAGGGAGACAGAGTAAGAATCTACTCTGAACTGGAGGTGCCTGAGGAAGTCCACGGGACAAGAACCACTGCAGCAACCTCCAACCTCCCAGGACCCCTCAGGCCCTGCTGATACTAAGGAATTCCAGCAGGCCTCAGTGTCCACAGAACCTGGTCTGTCCTCAGCCCCTGGGTACCATCTGCATCCCCCAACCCACCTATTGCCCTTTGTCCAATCAGCTGAGGTCTTCAGGCATTCAATGCTCTCATCCAATAGGTGTGGAGCACTGCTGCTCTTCTGAGCACTGAGAACCAAGCAGGAACAGAACGGGATCCAGTTCCTCACTTCATCCATGCATGAGGAGACTGCCAATCAATGAGCAAATACATATTAACATGTCAGGGAGTGGTGGATGCCCAGTAAAAAAGGAAACAGGGCAAGGGGTCACAGGGTATGTGTGTCCTGGGTGTGGGGGTTGTGTTCAATGATGAGGTCAAGAGAGGTGACTTCAAGTTGTCACCTGAGGGAAATTAAAGCACAAAAGTATGCAGGCAGCAGGGACAGGGATGGAGGGTCATTCTGGACAAAGAGCCTAAAGTAAAGTGTGCCTGGCAGGGATGAAAAAAAGGAAGGAAGATCTGGAAGACATAAATTCAGGGGTGGAGATGACAGGAAGGGGTCACACAGGGTTTGGAGTTCCCTGAAAAATCCTAGTACACAATGGAGTTGTGAGCTCTCTCAAAAACTATGGCAGAAATTCCTGAAAGCTAGACAAAAGCAACAGATTCTTTTTTCTCTGGAATCCTTTGCTTGCTATCCTGAACCACAGAAACAATATGGTTCTTTCTTCCTTCTCCTCCTCCCTCCCCTCTTTCTCCTCCTCCTCCTCCTCCTCCTCCTCCTCCTCCTCCTTCCCTCTGCAAACCTGCCCCTGACCTTGTCCCAAGCTGGCTTGCCTGTGGGCAGCTGAAGCAGTGGCTGCCTCTCAGTTGCAGGCAGGAGACAAGGCCAACAAGGGGACGAGGGGACAGGAGAAAAGACGCCCCCGGGAGAGGCAGGCGGCAGCACGAGGGACTACGTCACGGGGGCCTCTGACCGCTATTCATTTCAGTCCCCGTGTCTCCATCAATAACCGTCTGCCAGTGACCAGGGGGGAGGAGGGTGGGGGGGAGGAGACTGGACGAGGGGAGGGGTGGACTGGGAGACAGGCTCCTTGGCTCTTTCCTCCCAGCCAGGGCAGGAGGGACAGCAAGCACTAGGAACTGAATCTGTCTCTCCGGCTTCTCTCCTTCTCTCCTTCTTCCATCACTATATCCCTTTCACGCATATTCCCTTCCTTACAGAAGGGTCTGAAGGTAGGAGGGAAAGGGAGGCAGGAACAATTTCTACATTTGAAAAAGAAGAAGAGAGATCTGTTGGGAGCCAGTCGGATGGTGGATGAGTCAGGTGCTGCAGAGGATACTGGGAGTCTGGCACCAAGAGGCCAGAGCAAGCCCAATGACCAGGACTTGTGTAGGCACCAGACTGCCACCACCAGCCTGCAGGCCTCAGGAGAGAAGAACCTGCGCCACTGGGCCTGGCACAGAGCCTGGCACAGAGAGGACACTCAGGAAATAAATGGCCATGAGAAGAACCAAATGGCTGAGTGTGGGCGGTCAGAAAAGAAAGTTGCTTGCAAATGGACTACAGCAGTCAAGGAGGGCTGCCTGGAGTAGGCAGAACTTGACCAGATAGGCTGGGAAAAGCAAAAATGGGAAGAGAAGGCATACAGAGTAAGCAGACTTTGAGCTCAGGAATGGGAGGCAGGGAGGCTAGAAAAGACAATAAGAGATGGAACAAGGTGGGGTGGCCATCTTGTACTTCTCTGGGGGTAAGTGTGGCTCTGCAAAGTCTGAAATGACTGATTCCCAGAGGACTCAAGCCTGTTTGAACCAAAGTGGGCTTTTCCATCTTCACCATGACTTCCAGCCTTGCAGGCCTCTCAAGTCACACCCAGCCACAACTACAGGCAGAGAAAGAGTTCCCTGGCACTGGAGGGGACCCAGAAGGAAACTCCCAGAAGGACTGTGCCATCACTAAACATTCTCTTTGCCTTGTCATGGTGCCTGAAGGGCCAGCATTGAAACATCACCCCTAGAGTTAGCAGATTGCTCTATCCCATCCAGATTCCCTGGTAAGGAGAAATGGTGTGACATTGTTAGAGTCACTTAATGGGAACACCAGTCTGGACTTTGGAGGTAATCATCTCAGCAGTCTCAGTCCACAGATGGGGAGACTGAGGCCAGAGTGAGCACACGAGGCAGAACACCAGGGTCACCAGGAAATTAAAGGCAAACACTGTGACCTAGTGGACTGGGTCTCAAAGAGGCCCTCTGTCCCGGATGGATGTGAAGACCCTCACTACAATGTGACAGCAGGAATTGGGGCAAGTGACACAGGATTTTCATGGCAGCCCCATTCTTTTTATTAGCACAGCCTGGCCCAGGGTCTTCCTTACAGAGGGGGCCTTTATTTGGAAGGCCTGGAGAGTCCCTCATCATCTCTGACAGAGCAGTCACCTGCACTCCTGAGGGGCCAGAGCCAGAATCTATGGTCAAGTGTGGCTAGAGGAGCAGGGGGTGAAAGCTGTCCTTTTAGGGAGGTAGGGGCTGGAGCTGAAACAGAAAGAGCGCCCAGAACGGAGCAGGGAGAGGGCAGAGACGCCTGAGGCACCAGGGCACAGGGACCAAGAGAGACCCGTGGGGGAGAGGGGGTGTGGTGAGGGGAGACTCCGCGGCGGGAACAAAATAGAAAAGCAACGGGAGGAACAAGAGGCAGACAGACGGGCACACGGAGAGGCTGGGAAGCTCCGAAGAGGGTGCACACGGGGGAGAAGGAGGTGGGGAGAGCG